CGACGGTGGAATTCTCCGGTTCCAGATTCCGTCTCGCCGACGATCACCATCTCGTGTTCACGTTCTCTTCATTTTTCCTTTCTCAGCCCTCGCATGTCGCTTTGCACGATTTTGTGGTGGAGGGAGGAAGTAATGCAATAGGAAAATCGTGATTGGAAGTACTAATACTTTTTTTTGCCGCCTGTACAAAATCTATGTGAAATGAAAACGAACGACGGAGAACGTATTGAAATTTCCATTTCCCAGAAATAATGGCGAAATATTGACAGTAGGAACTGATTTGCATCCTCCTTTACACCCATGGTCAGACAGGTTCGAATGTTTCCGATGAGTCAATTTCTCTTTTCCTTCAACGAAAAGCGACATATGACGAACAAGGACAAAAAGACAGCGTGTGAACTTTCCCACCCTCCTGTTCTTCCACGACGGAATGGTAACGGTCAATTCTACAGATTTGAAAGCCTTGACACAGAATACCATGCTTCCGCCTGGAATGCATCGCTGCGCCCTCCCCTTCGAACTTGTGGGCTAAAGAATGACAAGTTGTCCAGGTCTGTCCATGTATGTTGGTGGATACGTCTTATGCGTTATCATGTATCCGCGACATCACAAGCAACGTATCCCTTGGTTTGTGGAAATGCATTCAAGAGTTTATTGTGAACATATTGTTGCCCAAGAGAGGAGACAGGTTCGACACGATGGCACAGATTTCCTATTTACAATTGAACAGTTCATAGTAAACAAAAGTCAAGGAGACGGTATAGGCGTGCGATATAGTAACAGCGTGTCTGTTCAAACCCGAAAGGGTTCTCGCTTTCTTTGATGAATTAAGGTTTAGAAAACGGCACAGTTTGCGGTGTCATGTCCAACCTGGGAGGCCAGATGAAAGGCACTAGTGAAATTATTTAGATCATTACGAAAGGGAGCTGAAGTGCTCTTTGTGTGCAAAATTAGACTGCGTTGCCGATGAATGATCTAAGGGCAGACGATGACCGTGGATCCAAATTCCTTACTATGAGGCGATAAGGAAATAGTACAGCAGTCGAGTGGGAGCAGCGACGTCATCTATTCAAACCCATGGCGAGAAGGAGCCAAATGGGGAATACTCTTCTGTGTCGCCGTTTGTCTGAGGTTCTCAACCTGAAGAACCTGACTTTCTTCGAAGTCTCGATGTTGCGGGTGTTGGAAGTGCAGTGCGTCCACAGTGTGCAAAGAAGCATCAAAGTTAATATTTAAATTCCATTTGCCCTGAAGGATGTCATTATTGTATACATGTTACTATGTGCCCCTATAACCTACCACATCGCGAATGTTCGTTTCATGTACACGTAAAGATAACATCTAGCAGAAGTACCAAGAAGAATACCCATTAGGCACATTATTCCTTGAAGTCCTAACCCGGCTGGACCCCTGGAAAGGAGCTTGGCATGGGGGGAAATGTAGGAGGTACTCTTAATAAGGATGCTTAAATCGTCGTGTTGGACAATACGCATGCTCGATATGATGTAATATAAGTCCCGCGCGCTCAGAGAGTGTGGAGTAGTAGAGAGTAGCAGCAGCGCAGTTGACGAGAGTCGAGAGTGTGTGCCATCGCGAGTACAGTTGGGGACTGTCGTAAAGACGCGGGACATGTGTTGAACCCCTGATCGGGTTGGGAGTGAGTGCCGGAAGTCTTTACATTGTACACTAAGATCCATTCAGTTATTGATCCTTTTGTATTCCTTGTTCATTGATCATCTGATGCAATAGATTCCAAAACGATTCCAAATATCCCTATTCTGATCCCTACTGCTATTGATCTCACCTAATACTGGTTATCTCAATAAATGCACTGTATTACAAACGAGGAGTCAAGGGAGTCATTATAACCTCGGACACGCTGGTGGTCCGTTCGTGAGTCACTAATGTTAATTCACCTTGGAGCCGCTTACATATAATTTAAAAAGGCTCTGCTTCATATGTCGCACAAACCAGGTGCACCTCCCATCAAAATGGTGGCAATTTTTGTTGAACGCGAAGGAGAAATGTTGAAGGTCACACATGACAGTGATGAGGGAGTTGTTGCTGGTAAAAAACGGTTGGTGCTGGCACGGAAACACTGCAGTTGCGGTGCGAAGTGCCTAAATCGGTGCTAGCCGTAATAGATAGAATCAGTGATGAACAGCCACCAGATATGCGTAGGTCCGCTGAGACCGCTGAACAGGAAGAGGCAACTAATGCTGAGTTCCGGAATAAGAGAGCCGTGCAGCCTGCTGAGCAACTTGATGCAAGGAACGCAGCACTTCGGTGTCGAAAGCCGTGAATTGAACCCGGTCCTCTTGCTTGCCGGTCAGGTGTGCTACCATTACACCACGAAATTCGGTACATTTAGTCAGGTCTCTCCATTATATCTCAAATCACTGCAGTCGTTTGCGCAGCGAGCACTGTCAGGCTGTACATTTTGATGTAGGGGGGAGGCATTTGTTTCACAACGGAAAAATGTTCCTGCTGCAACTCACACTTTAGCACCAGTGAGCCTTTCAGAGCCTGAGGGTAATGTGGTGGCGAGGCATGTTCTGGAATTAGTCGCTAGCATTGTGCCGCACATGTACTTTGAGTCTTGGAACAAGTTCTTGGAAATGGTCCGTACTGTTTCAGAATCATTGGTGTCTGTACTATATGCTAACGGTAATAGCACATGAGCTAATCGGTGATGCAAGACTATTGAATGTGCTAGGGAGACGATATTTAATGAATTTTTCATTTACAGTATGCCAACGTTCCATGAACAGCATTGGGAACGGAAGCACAGGGGCACTTACAATCGGTCAGTATATTAAACAAGGGAAGTAAGTTCAACGTTTCGGAAGTGTAACGCCATCTTCCTCAGGGAGTAAAAAAGCTTGTAAAAAAAAGGGTGGAAAAGAAAAAAATGGTCAGAAATGACAATTAAACTGTAGTAACAGCTATTTCAACAAAAAAGGGGGGGATAAATATCAGTAAGAGGCGATGGCACGTGAGATAAATATTATAAGGGTGGTAATTAAAATTCAATTACAATTAGAAAAGGTAAGGGATTATGTGAAAGGGTAGGACACAAACTGGGGTCATCTCAACAGAGGCAAAAGGAAAAATGAGTCGGAAAGAAATGGCGGGGGCAAGGACTGGGAAAGGGAGGAGAGCTCAATGGGAATTCATGACCGGTTTTAGTATTCTCGTCTAGAAAGTTTCGCGTAGCCTTCTATATGACGGTTCGGCTAGCCTCACTTTTTCAATTGGGAGGACGGATAAATCTGTATGTCGGTGTCCTGGATTATTAAAATGAATACCTGTCAAGACCTATAAATGAGCTTTGCATATTGAATATGTTCTTTGGCACGGTCAGAAAATGGTCTGCCTGTTTCCCCTGTATATTGGGCCTTGGAAGCCCTGCAAGTAATACAATAGATCACGTTAGGAGTGGAGTAGGTCATGTGAAAGAGGGTTTTCATCATTATGCTGCCCAGGGACGAGGAAAAATTGTCTTCCTCTTCAAGATAAGGGTTGATAGAGCAAGTCTTGCTGGATGATGGAAAAAAAGCCGGGATTGATAAAGTTCAGTGACACGGGAAGTCTTGACTAGTGGTTTTCAACCTTTTTACTGTCACTATTGGGTATTAACTGTTTAAATGTCCGAAATATACAGCCATCAAAAACAGTTTGCATTTTGTGATCCCTTAACGACGTGGATTCATCAAGTACGTAAATTGCACATGAAAAAAGACAGTTCTATGAATCTTATTTTCCTTATTGAACGAACAATTAACGCCATGAACGCGTTCTTTTCAACAATGAATTTCAATTCACGTAATGCCCTTATCCCATGGCAGGGATCATAGGCCATCATGAAGTCAATTAGTCTGGTTGGAAGTACTATCTCCCCTTTTCTGGGATAGTATTGTGAAGAAGAGTATAACAATAGAGTCACCAAACAGAATTTTCCATCGCATCACCAATTCTCTCCCATTCCGAAGTAAGACACACCCTGCAATAAATAATATTTCCACAGGAACTATGATATGCACTTATATTTAATCAGTTCCAATTCTCTTCCGCTTAACTGACCTTCGATACTGAAGCATCCTTCCCCCCATCTTTCGAGCGAGTTTCCTGGAGACTCATTGGACTGAGTTACTTATGAAGAACATTTTATTTCGCAGAAACCATGGACATTTTTTGCGGAGCCCGTGTGGACGAAAGTGGCAACGAACTGACGTATTTTATCATGGAATTTGGAATCTCTGAAATCACGACAGCAGGCGATTGGGACTGATGAGAGCAATGCCTATGTTCCCTTTCAAGTACCATGGCAACTCTTGTGTCTTCGTCCATCCGGAAGATGTGGGAAGAGATTGAATATGCAATATTCCGGGAATGTTGCGTCCCTCCCTTTCGTGAGGTCAACATGTAAATTTCATTTCACGAAGGCGCATCCTCGAATGATAGGGTAGAGTTCTGCTGAAACCCCAAGTTCGTATCTCGAAGCCTTTCGCCTGTAGAGCTGTCACGCACCAACACAAAAACATTTGTCGTTCCGCCTAGCTAGCGTGCCTGGGAGCGCACACGTTATATGTTTAACCTCAGGACCTCGGGTGCTTCGGAACCGCGGTCCTCCGGTTTGACTAATGGAAAGAGAAAAAAGGAATATCAGCAACGACTTAGGTATTCCAACATATACTTCTTACTCGGGCTTGATACTTTATCTCTGCGGAAACGTTCTCATTTCGAATCTAAGAGAAAACATACAGAACGACATTGCGGAGGAAAACCGGTCGAATGTGAAAATGCCTGCACAATGTCCTCATCATCAATGTTTGAATAACATAGATAAGGTCAGATAGTGGAGGAATGCGAGATTTGGACTTTAAGCACTCAATCCAACCGGATTCCCAGTGTTTTCTGTTGCATTGGTCCGTGCTGGAAGTGTTTTTTTTTTCAGAGCAGGCACCTGTTGCTAAAGTGATTTTGAATGCCGGAGAATAATGACAAGTAAAAGTGAATTGTATTTAGCTGATGTGAGAAATATATACAGGGTATATATTTATATTTAAAAAAACGAACGGAGGATAGCTTATGTTTTTGCGGATTTTGGATAGCTTTTATTTTTCATGGTATGCGTTATTGGTATGTTCCTAATGGCAATGGTACACTATGCGTATTTCCTAAATGTGAACTCGACTCTTGATATACCCATCATTAGTCAAGCTGACGAGATGGAAGGACAAAGTAGCTAAAAGTGTTCACGTTGTCTCTTGCTGTACAGCGGTGAACTGGTGTCTGCTTTATACCGTATCTATGGTTTTTAGCTGTTAAGACTGTACATGATTTTGAAACAATATTAGTTGATTATAGCCGTAACAATCATATGTATGTCGAATGTTTCCAGCAATTTCGTGTGGTTACACTTATATTGTTACATTTGCGTGAATGAATGTAGGGGTGTAGTACAATACGCTGTGGTATATGTGTCGTGGAAATTAAAAGTACATTCCAATCTTAATTAACGGACTGCATCAGTAATTGTACAAACAGCCACATTTCAGCTTCATCTTGTGGGACATACTGAATATTAAAACACTATTTGCAAAAGGTTTTTTGATAATGTGGCATGGAATACTAGTAAATGATGGTATATCCTTCGCCTTAGTCGCCTTTGTTTACTTGATTTATTATCTAATCTGAACGATAGCGGTAGGTAAACATGGGTTAGTCACCTCAGCAACATAGTCCTTAATGAACATGCGAAAGCGATAGAGTATGCGCATATGCGAAAGCGCATCTCTCCACAGGTGATCTGGAAATCAACATCCGCGGCTTTTCTTCCATTCTAAATTCAAATTATACCAGGAAAAGTCAGTTGTTTCATCTTCGTATTAGTGAACTGGAATTGACATTCACTAAGAAAAATAATATTAATGCACAAGTTATTGTGCTTTGGTGGGTATCCAACAGTGAAAACGTGACTGTGATTCCTCTTCAAATAAACAAACGTACAGCAAAATGGATTATTATACATTGCTCGGAGTGTCCAGAAATGCCACAGAAGCGGATATCACTCGCGCTTTCAAGAAAATGGCTCTCAAGGTCAGTTTTGTGAATAATAATCAATTTATCTTATATTGCCAGTATTTTCTTATTTCGAGTAATGCATTATTCATTTACTGTGATATCCAGTACCATCCAGACAAAAATATGGGAGACAGAAAATGCGAAGAGTTGTTCAAGATATTGCAGAGAGGAAAAGAGATTCTTTTGAATGCAAATGAAAGTTCCAATTATGACTTACACCCCGATGAAAAAAATGGAAACGACTTCGACACAACTCCTCCAGACCCAACTGGTATGATGAAATTGAACGCTGGCCATCGCCTATCAGAAGATTTTAGGGAAAAAATGAAGCAATGGTATGCTGAATATGAACAAATTGCCCTCATCGCTAATTATGGCGACATCAAGGAAAGTGTCGATGAATGGGCAAATAATTTTGCACAGAACGTTGGAGTTAACTTACCAAGCGACAAGAAACCGACATTCGATGAAGAAGCATACATAGAGAAATGCTCTGAACATGTGGATCTATTGGAAGCAATGCATGGCATTATGTCAGATGACGTGTGGACACTCAATGGTATTGGACCAGGTGGACTTACTACTATGGAATGGTTGAGATTCCGCATGGGCTCTTACTCCAATTTTGGTTGTCGCTTCTTTGACATTGGAAGATTCCAAAGTGCTCTTTATTGTTTCCAAAGAAGCACATCGGTAGCTGGTGCAACAATTCTGGCTTCAAAAGCTGAAGAACTGTTAAAATCAAAGCAGACGGAATTAGCTTTGTATTATTACAGAGTACTCTTGGACAAACCCAGTCATCAAGAAGAAGCTGTGGTAAATATAAAAAATTACGGTTCAGCAATATATTGGGATTTGGCATGGAAATGAAAAAGTGAGAAACGCAATTTTCTCAGCGGTAGGAAATTTTGGAAGTAATGTTGAATTGCACAAATTGGCTCTTGACGTACTATTGGAGAATGGACACTTGGAAGCAGCCAAAGATGTGTTGGTGTCATTCTGAAATTGGACCCCAGATATGCGTCAGTATGGGCAAAAGGGGCAAAGATTGAAGAATTGCTGAGAGTCAAAGACATTAAAGTCCTGGAAGGATATCTGTGCAATTATTGTGATGATCAGAAAAGGGAAGAAGGTAATTATCTGGTCGAGATGGCAGAGCACCTTAAAAGAACTCAATGTCTCTCATCAGCAAGAGATTTATACAAGAAAATGTCGAATGAAAGAGATATTCATCAAGTCAGAGCAGTCCTAAAGGTGGGACTGCTTATTCTCAAGGGTTTCTTTTTCACTGAAGAAGGAAAGTATGAGGAGTCCTTGAACTGCTTTCAAGAAGCAATAATCACATTGCCACTGCCAGAGGTCTTTAAGGCAATTACCCTGCTAATCAAGAACAGTCACTCACAAGCAGCATGCCATTCTTTGGTAAAACAGTTGACAAGCAGAGATCAAAGCTACCCAGCAGCTCATGCCTATATTGATAGACTGAAAGGAAATCAGAATCTTGTTGCGGTCATCAAATATGAGAGAAGCATTGAAAGGAACGGAAATCTGAGCAACGTTGAGAAAGCAATGCTGTATATTGATATGAGCATGGCAGCCATTGACAGTTCGATGCTTGGGACAACATTTGCAATAGCTGCAAATTATATGCTAAATGAAATGAAAGACCATTCAAAGAAGGTCGATTTGGCTCATCTGTATTCGATTAGGAATGTCATCAATGAGTTATGTATCTGTGCTGTGGTATGTGCAAATAAGTTTGAGCAGCCCATCACAGAGCTGCATCTGCTGAAACAGTTGTTCATCATCTTCCATCGCGCAAATGAATTGCTATCCATGTGTGCTCGCAATCAGAGCTCCGAAAATCGTTCTCAGTCAAGAGAACCAACAAATGTTGTTCGAGTCATACACAAAGAATTCAACTTGATGATGTGCAGGAGCTTTGAGAGGCTAATCAAAGTAACACCATTCGTCAATTTGCCAATCAGTATGTCTGCTGACATGATTTACTTGGATTTGGTGGCTTGTGAGTTTCTGGAAACATTCTACAAATTCAGGATAGCCAATCCATCGCCAGATTACTCTGCCCGGATTCATTTATACCAATATCAGCTGCTAGAGGCCAACTGGAAAACTGGAACACGCGATGAAAAGTCTTTTCAGAAGAACAGAGTTAATACGATGAAGGTTCTGATGAAAGAGAAAGAGCAATGGTCAATCACCCAAGTTGAAGATTCAATGAACTGGCCAGTTATTCATCGATCATCTGAGGGCTGGTTCGACATGGAAAAAAATAGGCATCTAAATTTACCTGGAAATAACTTTGACTCCGTGGAAGGAGTACAAATCGATATGGAAAATGGAACCTTCGCACTGATACTCTCCCGCAGCCCCAGTGGTTGCACTGGTTTGTTCAATGACGATGATATCTTGGAAGTCCTTCAGAATGGCATAAGTTCAACAAGTTTCACACTCGACCAAGTTGATGGTGACTTTCAATTTAATCCATTTCAGGTACTTTTTCATTAATCGACCAAATCGTTATTAATGTCAAAATCATTTATACGCGTGAGTAGTTGATTGATTCAACTTTTTCTTCCAGGAGATGAAATATAAACCAGTAGAGAAGCTCAGACAGACCAACTTTGTCAAAACAATGCTTCATGCAGACTATTTGTTGAAGATGCTGTCAATGGGTTGCGAAGTGTCATCGAAGGCTCCATTCAAAATGCGTGACGCAACTGGTCCAAGTGGATTCGTGACTTCATTACCTGACGGTATTCAAGAATTGGTGAAAGCTATCAGTATGCGCAAGGATGGTCAAACCGTTGGAAATGCTCACAGATTTTGGATTGAAGCAGGGAAGCTCCCTTATCATGTGGTCGCCGATGACGAGAATAAACTAGTGAATTACATGTTTGGGTATTGCCCCATGAAAGTCAGGACTCATATCTTGAAACGGAACGCACTTGGAGAGCTAGTCGATGATTGCGACAATGACGATGATATCGATGCCGAGATGACGCCGGAGAAAGAGTTTGCGGCTGACTTCTCCCATTTTTATGACGAAATTGGAGGTCATTTCCCTGTTTTGCTGAGATTGCGGGAGCTGCACAAACTGGGTGCTGTCTATATGATCCTGAAAAATTTTGCTGACAATATGGAAGAGTCCAAAAAGTCCGTTGTCATTGATACTGAGCCGATCAAAAGGTTATTGAGAGAAATGAAGTCGCAGATTGAATACCCTATGAACACAGACAGACAGCGGAATTGGTTGTTTTACGAGACTCTTCGGGAAAATGGCGTCTCTGAAAGCGAAGTGGATCAAAACGAACTGGATCGAGTCATGTCCAATATAAAAAAGCAGTTAGCAGAGGCCGATAGGAAAATCGTCTCTAATATCGCTGAAGGTCTTGAAAAGAACCTCAAAATGCGACAAAACTCATTGAAAAACCTTGTAGAAATATGGTTGAATCAAAATGCAAATGAAGCACTAGTCTCCAACATTGCCAACCATTTGAAAGACAGAAGAATCGCAGATTTGAGTCAATTTTCCATTTTCGCTTCGAAGTTGGGAATCTTCTTCAAAGACAGCGAAGACATCTGTGAGGAAGACCATTCTGAATGTGTGTGGGTTCCATCTGCATTTCATAAACGATGTCCGTGTCGTGTATACGGAGGTGTTCTTTTGGTACAGCGGCTGGAAGCGTATGGAGGTGGTAATGGAGGTGGTAATACAGGTGGTAATGGAGGTGGTAATACAGGTGGTAATGGAGATGGTAGTGGTGGAGGAGGAAAGCATGACAATAAGTTGCACAGAAACAATAAGAAATTTACTAGTCCTAACATGGTCTTCTACACCATCAACATTTTCTGTCGAGGTAAGAAACCTTTTATGTATTTTTATAATTGTGAAAACTGCCATAACATATAATAATTAAGTACACTTCCGTAGAGACCGGTGCGTTCGTGGACACCTACAAGATAGGAATCTCGGCAGATCCTCGAAAGACCAAGGGCATTCCACGTCGACTTTACGTTCAAATAAAGGCCTTAAACGAAGGTCGAGTTCAAGGTCTGGTGCACGATCACACAAAATTCGAATACCGAGGTCGACACCATATATTCAAAGACCCCATGGAACGAGGAGAGTTGGAAGAATTGGAAACTAAAAGAATATTGGCCTACCTCACGAAGAGGGATAGAAGCATTGTAGGCAACAATTGTCATACAGCGAAACAAGGAAGAAAGGATATGGCGTCACGAAACCTCGAAAATCCGGATATCCAAGCAACCGAAATGAAGAATGTAACATCACAGTGAATGACAGAAACATCGAAGGGGAAAAACCCCGAATGTAACATCCTCTGATCGCCCTCGCATTGGACTCCCTCCCACTGTGACTGACGTTGCTCATCGAGAAAAGGTCCGTCAGTAGTTCGAGAGGAAGGTCGGCCAAGAGGTGGGAATTTCGCATGAGTCGGTACGAAGGATCTTCAAGAAATAACCTTGGACATAAGGCTTACAAGCAGCAAAAATCGAAGACAGCTGTTTCCACCAAGACTTATCGCCTTCACCACCTCAGTCAATAGTTTCGCATTTTGCTGCTCATGTGCCTTGAGTCTTGAGTCTGTTCCTGACGATCCTCCACACCGACACGTGCGATATTCCCACCTCTTGGCCGACCTTCCTCTCGAACCGTTGACGAACCCATTTTCGATGCGCACCGTCAGTCGCATTGCGAGGCCGATCGGAGGATATACGGAGCTCCTCGTGGTTCCTTATCGCTTTCCTGACGGTCGAATCCAGCACATTCAGTCGTCGAAAAACCTCGGGAATTCGCATTCCTGAATCGTGCAAACACCTGACGGCTTCTCTTTTCGATTTCATTATATAAATAAGGCGGTTATTGCATAATAATTTTGTTCTGAGTGGAAAGGGTAATAAGACATACTATAAACGGTACTAGCGGCCTGCGGCCGCAACGCTGACTGTCCAATAGGCGGAAAGTTGAATCGTCTATTGTGAGCATAACGTCTTCTTGACATCCTCTGTTCATCCCATTATCCATTTGGAACTGAACCGCTTTATTAGATCTATGCACATACAGCTTACAGTACACAGGGACATTTTGCTCCTAAACATCATCATCATGATATTCCAGCTCATTACCACAATGGCGAATCGGCCCATCGTTACGCGTCCTCGACGAGATGGCTCTAAGAACAAGGGTTAATCCTTATAGGCTTAATTGACTCAATGTCGAGGATTGAATTTATTGGGTTGGAAAGAAAGTCTTGCAACACTTTCTAAAACTATTTATAAACATGTTCGAAGGAATGATGGGCGGGGCTTTGCATTTTTAATATGCTGGAATGTTCTCGAAGCTTCTGCCCTCGGGGTATATAAGGCGGCTTCTGCCATCAGTTGACAGCCATGGCTACGATCGAACCAGCAACTCTTCGCCCCATCGTCTACTACGAGTTCCTCCAAGGACACTACGAGAGCCCCCGCAGACAACATCTGCGCTGCATTCAAGGGCAACATCGTCCACTATTCCACGGTGTCTCGATGGTTGAAACGCTTCGAAAACGACCTTCGGAGATCGACCATGCTCAGGACGTCCGTCTACAGTCGATGACGAAGCCCTGCGGAACGCCCTCAACGCGAAGCCGAACGCCACCATTCGCGAATCGGCGACTACACTTGGAGTCACCCTAATGGCCATTGGCAACCATCTGAACGACCTCAGCTATCGGAAGGTTTACTCGACATGGGTTTCTCATCAACTGAGCGACTCTGACAAAGCAAGCCGTGTCGGGGTCTGCGAATCACTGCTCCTTCGTCCGCACAGAAAGGACTTTCTGAAGGAAATCGTTACTGGAGATGAGAGCTGGGTCCTCGACTTCGACCATACTCGCAAGAGTCAGTGGCTTCCACGAGGAGAATTGCCGCCACACGAACCGAAACCAGGGTTCCACGAGAAGTTTCTTCTCTGCTGTTGGTGGGATTCGGAAGGAATGTTGTACTATGAGCTCCTGCCAACCGGTACCACCGTGACTGCCGTCGTCTACGCTGCTCAACTTCAGAAGTTGGCTGGCGTCATTCAAAAAGAGCGTCCCAAACGCGACAAAGTTCTCCTTCTGCATGACAACGCTCGTCCACATGTTGCGAAGATGACTCGCCAGACGATTTCGGAAATGGGCTGGGAAGTTTTACCTCATCCAGCGTTTCTCCGAACTTGGCCCCTTCCGACTATCACTTGTTTCGGGCCCTCGAGAATCACCTGCGGGACAAGGCCTTCGACGATCGAGCACAGCTCGAAAATAATGTCGGCCGTTTCTTCGCTTCGCAATCGCCAGAGTTCTGGGCAAAGGGCATCGAGCAGTTACCCGTGCGTTGGGAACATGTCATAGACAACAATGGTCATAACATTGTAGACTGAAATTGCATTTCAATAAAGTTATACAATTTTGACAAATTTGCGCAGTGTTGCAAGACTTTCTTTCCAACACAATATTTTGAACTAAAAAGGTAAAAGGGCGTGCCCCGAAGGCAGTCCATCTGCTTGGCCTTGACCCTACGTTAATGAGTTTCGTAGAGAAGGGGTAATGAACGGAGTTCCGGCTGAGGTTGAGGTTGAAGAAGGGGAAGTCCTTTTTAAAATGGTTTTCACATTTCTTCGTCTATAATTAAATGCCTTTTCATATTCTTACTCCTAACAGAACCCCAATAGCTTCCTAAAAATGCTAACAAGAAATCCAGCGCACATATTTATATTCTATTTCTGATGTCCTTATAGACTCTGAAGCACTCGCATATCCGATGAGATATTGGGTGAGACTGGGCGGAAACGATCGATCACATGCTAAGTTTACAATTCAGTTACTGGAGATTCGTACGATCACATGAGCCGCACTCCTACTCACCCTCAATCCCAATGTGACCTAGAGGTTGATGGGATGTGAAATGGACATTAGCATGGTGCATCATCTGCCTCTCCCATATGAAGCATCATGTGGTCGGGGATAATATTTATGTAAGGGAAAATGTGCATGAACGTTAGCATGAAATACGCCCGGGAATGTCGATGAATGAGTGAATCATGGCGACGTGTGTCCGTTGGGATGCGGAACAGACACAATGGAGCCCGTTGAATCACGATATATTGAAAGTGATTGGTGAAGGGTTCTGCCCTGCGCAACAGCACATGTCGGTACGTATATTGTAATTTTAAATTGAATAAGTCTGTATCTCTTTATTTCTGGACTCAAGTCGGAAAAGATCTGGATATGGGATTCTCCTGCACGATGGGGATCCGTAATAATGGAGTCTTGAAAATCAGGCTCATCGGCACATTGTCCTCGCACTTTCACCATGAAGACCGGATTAAGTACAATCAGGCCATGCTGCAATCACACCCCACGGGATTTACTGCAAGACAGGAGGAGATGAATGCCGATAGGAAAGGCTTGCATAGTGGAGCAACGCGAGCAACGAAGATCTCACCGTGCGGACGGATAGACCCACTCCCTCGTGAGACGACCTCCAGCATGGAGCGGAAGGATTCCGCCCAAAATTTATTAATGTTATCCAGGAATTCTAATGACGAGTGAGTCGTGAAATCTGAAATGAAAAATGGATATTTTCTGGCCCCATTGGCTGAAAACGTACTTTTATGATTGAGTTAAGTGGAAGGAAAACGAATCGTATGGCTGGGTTAGAAGAAAATACCATAGATCCCGTCGCCAAAATTAGTCCATTCGGACATCTCTAAGTTCGCGAATTCCCTGAAAAAACCAGGAGATTCTTCCGATATAGGATTCAGACCAACAAAAAGGAAAAAGGGTTGATCCATGTCAATTCCCCAATGAAAAATGGATTTTTACGGGATACCCTCTCAGAAATTGATTACATTTGGTACGCGCGTTTCTTTAAGGAGAAAATAAAGATTTATAACTTTTGTCCGCTAGTTCGTCCTGATAACACTGAGGAAACCACAGGAGCAAGTTTGTGCGGGTATTCCCATGTTGAAAACGTGTCCCCAAGAGGAACGTGAGACGAGGAATGCTTCAATGCTAGCGAGCACACGCCGTTTTTCTTTCCGAAAGAAGAAATTGCGAGGTAAACACTCCGCCTCAAAGTGGTCCCCATCCTCCAAGAAATATGTATGCACGAAATTTTAGCTTTCCATTATATCTAAATATAACTTACAAATGGCATGCGCCAATCAAATCGTTTAGCTATCTATGCCAAAACCAAATACAGGGAAAAATCGAACTTTTAGTGACAGGGCAAATCCTTATAACTGCGCCGAATTCCCTTCCAGAGGTTGGAATGAAATATGCAGTATTTTCAAAATTTTCGTTCAACTTCTTTAGACGCATGAAGTGACCTTCGAAATGGAATGATCCTCCCTCTAGCTTTCGAGCCAGAGTTTTTTGGAGACTCCTTGGAATGGATTACCTCTTAAGACTGATTTGTTTCATAATTCAAATATTTACCCCTTCGGATTATGCGGGGGAAAGATCAATTACCGAGTGGAAGGTATTGGGGAATATTTTGTCCAGCTGTATCAGGAATTGACACGCTATAGCGACTACTTTGGTGCCATCTAGCGTCGGTTGTGCGAACCTTTGTTACAAGCCATTGTTAGACGGATACCACTGATATGCCTGAGGAAAGCATGTCTTTAACGTTCTATCAATGTCCTTCATATGACTCATGTCTCGTGATCAAACGGCACCGCAAAAGGTACTCATCCGTCAACATCGGGTGTCCAAAAACCTCTTTGAACACAATTTGAACGTCCTCGAGAGCGTTCATGTGCTACTTTGGCTGTGTCATATGTAAAATGCCTGCAGGTCGTATTTGACCTGTGATTATCCTAGGCACCCGATCATGTAAATGGAGCATTGTGTCAACAAAGGGGAAGAAAAATAATTTAGTAAAATTCTTGAACCAAAACGGCAATGCAACACTGAGCGTAACGACGTAATTTGTGAAGGCTCATTTCACCAGTCATTCCCCGTGGCACCTCAGTACGTCAACAGAGCAATGGTGCCCATGAAGCTAAAAAAAAAAATTTACATAGGGTAGTAATTTGAAAGCTGCATACAATGTGGAGAGCACCTTCCAGCCCTAGCGAGAGTGCTTCACGCTGCAATCTATAATACACCTTGTCATTCTCGTCCAACAGACTAAAGACCGCCACCATGTGAAATTAACCACCCAAATGTGGGTGATTCCCAGTCTCAGAAACATCAACGGCCAGCATCGTACGAATAGAGGAAGACAAGGATTATGCAGCAAACATCACAGTC